GTTTAGGGTTCAGGGTGTAGGTGAGGGGATTTAAGGGAACGAGTGGTGTATCGAACGTCCTCATGCTTCACGATGCAGGTCGTCACTCTGTGTCCAACACATCGGCATGAGCTTCATCCGCTCCACATGCTCATCTCCTTGAGACGGCGTCGACCATCCCAGGATGGTTTGGGCCCTTGAGGTTCTTCGTAGAGCTACCCATGAACCCTAAGTCCTATAAATATAGTCTCCTTTGGAATTATATTTTGCTCACATAAGACCCAAGAGAATAAAACAACTATTTCCATCATGGTTTCCCCCCGAAAGGACGTGGTGGAGGTGGTGGATTCGCATACAGGTACCACAAAGGCATCAGCTCAGACAGTGATCGGTGTACATCATGACTACAGGACTGGACACATCTGGCTGCTGTGGCTTGTCAGCAACCACCAGACCCTTAGGGTTTAGGGGTTTATGGTTGTAGGAGTTTAGCGGATTAGGGGTTAAGGGTTTAATCCCAATGCCCTAGCCCATCACCGATCTCCTTCTTGCGAATCGCTCTTCCCAAAAAAAGTACCACGCGATGCCTGACGGTAGCTTCGAGCCCTGAACCCTCAGCCCTAAACCCGTCAAGCACAAAACCGTGAAACCGCCTGGCCAAAAGGAACACCAACAGCGAGGGTTTTGCGGAGGTGGTTGTCTTCGATGCCGAGTTTGCCAAGGCAGGATAGTAAAGTGGTTCTTTCGATATAAACTCCCACAGGCGTCAAGCAAACGTATGTTGGTAAATTTGCCTGGAGTGAAACCTTGTCATCCCTTGATCACAGAAGCCCGAAACACTCAATCCCCAAACCCTTAGACTCGAAACTCAAGGCACTAAACCCAACCCTAAACACTAAAACCATAAGCCTTAAAACCTACAGCCGAAAACGCTAAACCTCTACAAAACACTACAACCCTACTCCCGAAACCCCTAAACCCGCAATACAGGAACCCCTAAGACCCCCTGTAACAACCCCCAAACCAGGTTCCTCTGGGCCGTTGGCCGTTGCCATCCGGGCGGTGGCCGCTTCTCTCGCAGGAAAGATCATGGGCGGTTTAGGTTTCCCTTAAAAAGGCTCTTAAAAAGGGTCCCTTTGATGGATCTATGAGGTATCTATAAGGGGGTTTAGGGTTTGGGGAATAGGGCTTTGGGTTTTGGTTATAAAGGTTTTAGGGTTTGGGGTTTAGGTTCGCGGTTTTTGGGGTTTAGGGTTTGCAGGTTTAGGGTTGGGGAATAGGGTTTCGGGTATGGGGGGTTTCATGGTATAGTTTTGAAGGCAGGGTTTAATAAGGGGGGGCCTTAGTGCTAGAGTAGTATTCCTCAAGTGTTCCCTATAAATACATGTATATATATATATATACATAGAGAATATAGGGATGCAGGACATTAGGCCTGCGGCGTTTAGGGTTTGTCTTTTCAGTGGTTTAGGGCTTAAGCACTTACAGCTTTAGGATTACAGGGTTTAGGGTTTCACGATATAAAGATGGGTTAAGGTGTTTCCTGAAATGTCGGGGTCCTCAGAATAAGGACACCATCTTTTGAAGTTCCTTGTCAGGGTCTGTCATGTTCCGGGACTTTCTTGAGTGGGCTGATTTCAGTTTCAGACCAAGCGAACGGCATGGTGCCACTCAGGGAAGCATTCAGCATGCCAGGGCGGATTGCATGGCAGCGCGGAGCAAGATACTTCTGACCTGCAGAGTAGAGCCGGAGTGAATCAAGCTATGTTGCTCTTGCATTCGGCTGTCTCTCCCAGGTGGGTTCCAGGCATGTGCGACTTGTCTGAATCCAGCTAAAGAGCTAAACCCTGAATCCCGAAATCATCGGGGCCGCTTGTCCTTGAGATGAGCGCTGTATGCAAACTCGAAGTGCAGGCCACCCTAGATCCTGAGCCCCACGAGCCCAAACCCTTGAACCCTAAACCCTTTACCCAAAACCCCAAACTCTGAAACCTAAAAGCTCGTTTTCCTACTTTCTGGTCTCCCTTCTAGAACCCTGTGGGAACCTCTACAAGCCCGATAGAACCTTACACAACGATTGGAGCGCAGCCTATATACAAACCCTGTAGAAGCCCCAGCAACTCACATCAAGCATCATGAACTCATGAACCTAAGGCCTAAACAAGCTTAGAGCCCGCGATAAAGATTTTCAAGCCTTGTAGAACCCTTGCGGCAGCCCTTATAGCATCGTTTACAGAATCCTTGTCTTATTATGCAGGCCCCGAAACCCCAAACCCCAAAACCCTCTACAGATCCCTTTCAATAGCCCTTTCTTGGACTCGTTAAACACATTGCACCGCAGAACTATCATTTCGGCGCCTTGCCTTACACCCTAAACCGAACCCCAAGCCCGAATCCACACCTAAAAGCCGTAAACATCCCAAACCCCAACCTCTAAAGCCCCCAACCCCGAAACTTAAACCCAAAACCCTAAATCACACCTTACGTTGTACACCTTAAACCCCTAAACCCCAAACTCTACTTGGGGCATCATTGGTCTCTGTAATAGGGTCATAGGCTATACCTGTTTATTATCTTATAACTCCAATTGGGGAACTTATATCTGCATTCACTAAGTCCCATCATGATCCTCCAAGTAGACCCGGACCCTAGACCCCACATATACTTGGAAGGGCAGGGGACTTAGTAAGTAGGTTATAAGTAGAGTTATAAGTACCCTAAATGGGGTTACCCATATCTTAAAAAATACTTACTAAGTCCCCTGCCCTTCCAAGTATTCCTCTAAGGAACCCCTCGGGGAAGCCTTCTCGTCCCCTGAACCCCCAAACTCTAGAGCCAATCGGGAACCATCCCGAAATCCCATATAGATCCTTTCAGGAACCCCTTCAGGCGTCCTTTAAGGAGCTCCTTTAAGCCCCTGAACCCCCAAGCTCTAGGCCCTAAACACTAAAACCCTAAGCCCTATAAACCCTACACCTTGGAGCCTAAGCTCTAAACCCTACACCTTGGAGCCTAAGCCCTAAACCCTACACCTTGGAGCCTAAGCCCTAAACCCTACACCTTGGAGCCTAAGCCCTAAGCCCTACACCTTGGAGCCTAAGCCCTAAACCCTACACCTTGGAGCCTAAGCCCTAAGCCCTACTCCTTGGCGCCAAGGTAACCTGGGAGACGGCCAAGGCTTTATCCTCGCTGCGGCAGCTGACACTGCCGCCCGGCAGATTCGCGAAGTTGAGGGTTTGGGTAGGGTTATCAGTTGAAGGGTTCCTAGTAGGGTGCCTTTTAAGGGTAGGTTTTTAGGATTTAGAGGTTTACGGGTTTGGGGTTTAGGGTTTAGGGGTATAGGGTTGACAGTTTAGGGTTGAAGGTTTAGGGGTTTAGGGCTTAGGATTAGGGGTTTAGGGTCTCAAAATTTGGGGGGTGTAGGTAGGGTTGTAGGTTAAAGGATTCCTAGTAGGGTTCCCTTTAATTTAAGGGTACTACAGGGTTCTATAACTGGGTTCCCTTTGAGGATTTTGCGTGGAGCGTTTAGGGTTCCTTTCAAGGGGTATTACAAGGGTTCTTTGAAGGTTGATGTAAGATCTTGGGGTTTGAGGCTGAGGCCTTGGGATTTGACAGTTTAAGGTGCAGGGGTCCGTGCCTTTTGGGATTATACGGGTTGCTTTCATGGGGTACCGCGCGGGCCACTCTAAAAACCTTTCCTTAGTGTTCCCATCTAACTGTAGTAACAATTCCACCAAACAAAGTTCAATGATTAAGGCCTTTGAAGCAGCTCAGCTTAAACTGGAGATTTGAGATGGGAGGTAACGCGTAAAGAGTTGGAACCATGGTTGAGACCCGAAGCCCCAAACCTCTGAACCCGGCATCGCATCCTGTAATCAAACCCGTAAGTGCTGCTAAACCCCTGAACCCCTTGTATTAAACCTAAACCAGACAGGGCGAAGCCAGCCCAAACTCCTCAAGACCCGGCACAAAACCAAATTCAAACAGCTTTTGCTTGTTTTAGAGACCTTAAGTAAGCCGAAACCCAAAGCCCAAAGCCAAAAAAACATACCCGGATACTAAACCGAAAACATCACAACCCTAAAGCATAAAGCCCCGCCCCTACAATGAGTACCCCATAGGGCCCCATAGTACTCCTTATAGTACCCCCTGGAACCCTAAACCCTTTAAACCTAACCTAACACTCCGAAGCTCTTCAAAACGACAAAAAGACACACCCTCAGCCGTAGAACCGTGCGATTCAAACCACACAGCGCCCAGGACCGCGCTGGACAAGTGGGCGGTCCCGAGTTATGGCGTCTAGTGCCCAAACAGCGGGACTTCTAAAGATGCAGGGCTTGTTACCGTAAGTTACTGCAGAGGTTGCTACTGTAAAGTTTGTTTCTCAGTTGTTGTGTAGGATTTGGGGTTTGTTAGATGGCATTTTGTTCAGCGTGTTTGGGTTTATTCGGTCTTCTATTGGTTTGACCGTGCCCTTAGGGTCCAGACCCGCCCAAAGTGAGGTTATCCAACCTATACCTCCGCTTATGACCTGCGTGACTTATGTAGACCAAGAGAATCCTAAACCCTGAATCCTAAAAGTCTAGCTTCTCGGGTCGGGGAGTCCCTGCTGCATTTCGATGCAAAAGCCAGCAACACTCATTTTAAATCTTGCAAGGAAACCGAATTAGAGTTGCTGTGCGCCCACGGTCTTTCGTCATTGAGCATGTCTTGCCGACGCAGTATGCAGCTTACACTTACACTTCATGGGTGCGCCGCACATTTGAATGATTTTTCATTTCTATGGCAACATGTGCCGTGGATCTAGCCCAAGGCGGCTGAGAGTCTTGCGATGCGAGAAAGCGTTGCCCGGAGTGTCTGTATCACGGATTCCGCAGCAGTTGCAATTGTTACATCATCCCCTTCGGTTCCTTACCATCATCTTTATGCTATATTATCTTCTAACTGTTACACCTGTTATTTCACATGTCCCCGTGTGTTTAACCCTAATCCCAGGATATTTTTGAGCCGCGGAGCATCAGGTTGGATCCCACACACCCTCTGCGATGGAGCGTGCGCGTCCCGGATACTGCCTTTCTCGCAGTTTACGGCTTTGGGTTTGGGGTTTAGGGTTCGGGGCAGTTCAGGTTTAGGGTCTAGCACGCATAATAGCCGTCTGACCACATGGCAACGCATGACCCGGCCTGTGTCTGACCTCGCGAACTCGCTTCTGTCCCTGACAGCGCGGAGTCTTCCCCTGGGACACTATACCCTGAACTCCAGACTGTGAAAACTAGGCCGTATAATAAACCTTAAACTCTGAACTCTGCCCTGTATCCCGCAAAGTAGTTCTTATGGGTAACCCTTGTAATAAGTTACCCCATAACGCCTATGCCCTGAACATGGGAGGACCCCGTCCACAGCTCTCCTTTGCTGACACCACAGCGAAGACCACCTCTGCTGGTTCCAGAACTGGCCTGGCCCCAAGGGTCCAAAGGACCCAATAATTGGGTACTCGGTTTTAGGATAGTAGCCTAGGACCCAGAGTAAGCCCTTATTCCCTTTTTTAGGGTTCAGGTTCCTTTATATCACCCTTTAAGCCAAAAAGGGCACCCTTTTTATTCCTAGGCTACTCTTAGGTCTAGTAGCTATGTAGGTTAGGATTTTGGAGTTTGGAGAGTATACGATTATTGGGTACTTGGACCCTTAGGGTGGCACTGACGGGTTCCTTTAAGGGCTCCTTTGGGGGATGGATTGTTTAAGGCTGATTCCTTTAAGGGATTCCTTTAAGTGTTCCGTTAAGGGTTCCTTTCAGGGTTGCTTTGAAGGATTGCTCCAAGGGGTTCCTTTGAGGGTTCGTGGAAATCAAGGGTGCTATGGGGCATTTGGGTTTGGGGAGTTATGTGTTCAGGTTTAGGATTTGGATTTAAAGTAAAAGCCAGAAAGTTGGAATATGATTATCCTAAACCCTTTATGCCATAATTTACCATAAAGTTTATGGTAAATTGTAAGGTATCCTACCCTGAAACCATATTCCAACTTTCTGGAGTTCCCTTTACTGTAGTTGTTGAAAACATTCGAGTTCTGGCTTCGGGGATTCAGGGGCATAAGGGGTTTATAGTTTGGGGTTTACGGGTTCGCAGCATGATGGCTAAGGAACATCATGTTGGGGCTTTCCCTGTCCATCCATGCATGGCGAGACTTGCAGCCATGTTGCATCCTTTCCACACTAACCTGAGCCTTTCAAGCATACTCGACACCTAAACTACCTAAACCCTAAATCCAACGCAATCTCTTGCAAAGGTTCCGATTCCAGAAGCTCGTTTTGGGCGATTTCAACACACGTTGCGGGCCCGGTGTGTCGACTACGTACGTCAAGCCGCAAGACCACTACCCATGGATCCAAGAACCCACCATTGGATGATGGCCTACGATTTGTGGCTGATGATTTTGCAAATGTTTCATGAGGGCGTGATATGGCCTGTATCACGAAGTTTTATGCCATAAGTCCTGAAACCCCAAACCTCAAACCATTGTGGCTCGTCGCCCGGATCTAGCCCTGATAGCACCATGCAGCCGCAGGCATAGACAAAGTCGGATTTGCGACTCAGGAGCAAAACGCACCTAAATTGGTGGGGTACCCCTACCTTAATATTGGCTTACTTAATGAAGAAGAAGGGACGATGGGATATCCCAACCCTATGGTTGTTTGGGTCCTTTTTGCGGTGGTTGCTGATCTGTGCCACTGCACAAGCCTGTCGAAAGCGTCACCACATGTTGCATTGCCAAAACGGCCCGACGAGACAGTAATAATGCAGTTTCAGTTCAATAGTATAGCATGGGATACCCCCCGACATTTTCTAAAGCCCAAACCCCTAAACCCAAAACCGTTCTAATTTAAGTCTCCGATGCTGTGACCAGGGAAGACACGTGCGCTTGTCGGAGTGTCAGGCCCTGCATCCTTCTGAAGTGCGCAATGTTTGCAAAGACGAACAAGAACGACGCAGACAAGGCGAGGATATCGGTTTAGGGTGCAGGGGTTAGAACTTGAAATTGGTGCAAGACATATACTTGTGGCTCAAAGTAGTATAGGGGCCCAAGAATAGCTAGCAGTTCTGCCAACTAGAGTTCCTGAATACAATCACAGCATATTCTTTCTCCAAAGCACAGAAAAATCCTATTCCAACCATTCCGGCCCCTGTATGAAAGCTTCCCTGAGCCAGCCTGAAAAAATTCGCCAAGCCCTGAACCCTACATCCCCAAACCCCGCTATACATTGAATCCCTAAGCGCCGCTACGCCTTAAATCCTCAACTTCTAAGCCACCTAAACCCTAAACCCTAAACCCTCAACTCCTCAATGCCCATAAGAAACCCTAGAAGCTGAAACGCTTAAATCCCAAGCCCGCGGCTCGACACTTGTCAGCTTAGTAGCTGAGTAGATACACTTCACACTTTTTGGGGTAAGATTACCCACTATACAACTGAAAGTGTGCAATTTTGGGGGGGCTTGTGAACTCAGCACCTAAGTCAGGATCACAGTGTGGTGATCGACTGTCGGCCTGCCGGTGGAACTGACGAGGCTGAGTGCATCGATTGGGGCTTCGGGTTTGGGGTTCCGGCTCGGGTTCCTCAGCTTCAACCATCCTCTTACCCTAAGGCTCCAAGGACTCATGGTTGAAGGCTTTTGGGCCTAGAGACCATATCATATAAGGCTTTTGGGCCATTTTGAGCCTTAGGGTTACTTAGGATCGGATCCTTGATTTGAGGTCTTGAGATGAACTGCATCGACTTGTAACAGCACAAGCCCCTAAACCCCAAACTTACCTTTGGTTAGTAAGGAATGGAGGAATGGGGTACAATTAATTATAACTAATACTACCATTCTTCCACTCCCTACTAACCAAAGGTAAGCAAACCCCAGCTTTTGGTAGCCCCATAACACCACGCGACTCGCAGGACTACCGGGTGGTTCCTTTGGAGAACTCGGTCTTCTGCCAGCCCGCAGAGCAAGGGGCCTTGCTCCAGAGCTCCCTTCTTAGGGGTTGTACAAAGCGGATCATGGGAGTTAGTAACTTAAAAGGTTCCGTTTGAAGGGTTCTTTAAAGCAGTCTCTAAGGGTTCTATAAAGGAGGATCATGAGACTTAATAAATATAAGGTACCTTAATACTTACAAGTATCTGGGGGTTCTACTTGGCGGATCCTGGGATTTAGTAAGTACGGTTCTACGTGCCCCAACTGGCGCGATATGTAATCTTGAGCTGAGTTACCTTGTTGCCTCTACCTCTAGTTACTGAGGCCCGTGATCCTCCCAGTATCAGGGTTACTATAACGGGAACTACAAGAGCCCTATGACGGCTACTACAGTTTCAACAAGGGCTGCTACGAAGGTTAAGGTTGAATATACTGTTTAAGGTTCAGGTTTATACAGTGCCCAAAACAAAGACAGCAATGGTCACCTATTATATATATATATATACCCTAAACTCTGAATCTCTGACAGAATCCTTGTAGTAGCCTTGTCAGTAGCCCTGAGAGAACACGTATCCCCAAAAGCCAAACCCGCTGCCCTGCACCCTACATTCTCAACCTAAACCTTAAACGAAAAGCTACTTGGAAGCACCGAAATCAAAGCCCGAACCCTCATAATAATCCGTATAGTGATTAGTACCCTTTAAGGAACCTTTATGCCCTCATAATAATCTGTATAGTAATAAGTACCTTGAAAGGAACCCTTATGACAATCTGTATAGCAATAAGTATCCTTTAAGGAACCCTTATGATAATCTAGGATGCCAGGTAGTACCCTTATTCCCTTTTTGTAGTCCTAGGTTCCTTATAAAGTTACCCAATACCAAAAAGAGAGGCCTTTTTATTCTTAGGTTACTGGGTATCCTAGCCTATGATAACCCGTATAGCAATAAGTATCCTTTAAGGAACCCTTATGATAATTCGTATAGTAATTAGTGAACCGTTATGATAATTCAAGCAGGCACGGACCCTGTCGCTTGGTCTACAACCTGCCATTTCTCCGAGCCGAGATGCCTGGGGCTCGCGGGATGAAGCCCCTCTGGCCCCTAAGGTTCCTTTCTTTCGGGGTTCCATTAAGGGTTCCTTTTAAGGGTTCCTTTAATGGGTTCTTTTTAAGGGTTCCATTAACCCCTAAGGTTCCTGTTTTTAAGGGTTCCATTAAGGGTTGCTTTTTAGGGGTTCCATTAAAGGACCCTGTTTAGGGGTTCCATTCAGGGTTTCTTTTTAAGGGTTCCATTAAGGACCCTGTTTAGGGGTTCCATTCAGGGTTTCTTTTTAAGGGTTCCATTAAGGACCCTGTTTAGGGGTTCCTTCAATGGGTTCCTCTTTAAGGGTTCCATTAAGGACCCTGTTTAGGGGTTCCTTCAATGGGTTCCTCTTTAAGGGTTCCATTAAAGGGTTTTAGGGGTTCCTTCACAGGGTTGCGTTTGAGAGAGTCTTATGAGGGGTTCCTTTGCGGTGTTCGTTCAAAGGGCTCTTTGCAATTCTTCTTCAGGCTTCCATAAAGGGATTCGTTTTCAAGGGCTCTTGTTAGGCCTTCCTTTTAAGGGGTTCGTCGTAAAGGTTTCTTCAAGGGTCTCTTGCAGGCTTGAGTACAGGATCTTCGGGGCTTTTTGGGATGGACTGCCGGGTGTAGGGCTTTTGGAGATCTTCGGCTTTGGGGCAGTACTTGGAGAGTCATGGGACTTAGTAAGTAAGGTTAGAAGTACCCTGCTTGGAGTTATAAGTAGAGTTACCTCATTTGTAACCCTAGTTACTAAGTCCCATGATCCTCCAAGTAGGGTTTGGGGTTTGAGGGGTTTTGAGGAGATATGGTTTACGTTTACGGATTTGAGGGTTCAGGGATTTGGGGCTTGCCAGGGCAGGCTGGCCTGAGGTCTTAATCACTGCAGCGCCAAACGACCAGCCACCTTTGCAGTGCTAAAGGGAACTCCAGAAAGTTGGAATATGGATTAATGGTAGGATCCCCTATAACTTACCTTAAAGGGGTTACGATAATGATATTCCAACTTTCTGGCTTCTACTGTAAGCACTTGGTCACCAGAATCGTTGAACAACGAAACTTGAGAGCCCGAAACATTCAATCTGGTGCCCGACCCTTCTGCCTAGACGGACGCGGAATGTGGTCATGAACGATGTGTCTGCCGCAAGCATTCCATTCTTCGCGGCCCGCCCCTCAGACCTTACGAGAGTTCTCCAAACGGCAGATGCCACTCTTCAAATAATGCTACTATCACTGCTATTGGCAACATTATGTCGCGATTATGATTACTCTTCTTAGTCTTCTTGTCATGACGAATTCTATTGTTATGCTATTATGTGTTCTGAGTCCTGTCCCTAAATCAGTGTGCTTCACCGCTGAGATCAGGTGCCGCCCCTGACAGTTCAACAGGCTAAAGGGCCGTCGATCCAGATTGTTGAGGGCAAGGACACTGGTGCCCGGCCCTCAACCTCAAACCCCGGTATTAGAGGGTTGTTTGAGGGGGTCTAGGGAAGCCCTAAACCCTGCACCCAAAAAGCCGAAAGCCCGGACTAAAGCCCCGCAACCCCTCCAAATCGCAGACTGTCGACGCGTAAGCTGCGCAGGAGGCTAAAGCCCAAGCCCCTAAACCCCCTAAACCTAACCCCGCAAAAAAAAACACTCTACTCCTACACCCCAAAGCACAAGCCCCTAAACCCTAAACCGTAAAACCCTAAACCAAGCATAATCCCAACCCGACCCTGCAAAAACCCCACGCTCGACACCCCAAAGCAGGACGGCAATCTCTTTGTCCGGGCGGAATGGACCTCGCGATGTTTGCCGGATCAGCAGCCGGTCTCCGTCCAGCTCGAGCCTTTGTCCTCGGTGTTCCCAGAGAGCCCGATACCCCCTAATGAAGGAATATACCTTAAATCATAGTATTAAGACACCCCTTAATTAAGGAATATACCTTAAATTATAGAGGCATTAATACTATGGTTTAAGGTATACTCCTTACTTGGGGGGTATTGGGGTCTCTGGGTGTTCCCAGAGAGCCCAATTTGGGTGGTTGTCAAGATTGGGGTCCCTTCGTGGGTCCCTAAAATAATACGGCACCCTAATATTTAAGGTACCCCAAAAAGGGACCCTAATTTTGACAACTACCCCAATACACTTTAGTTACTTTAGCTTCTGTAATCAATCTTAATTGTTGAGAGCTTCTAACTTCTGTCCAGTAATCAATGTGTTCCCAGAGAGCCCAATGCACTTAGGGGTACTTAGAATGTTTTTCCATTTTTGGTTATGATAATCCCTAAGAAACAGCTAAAATCACAATTGTTGTTAGGGTTCTAAGTTCAGTAGAGAGCCCAAGTTGGGTGGTCGTCAAAATTAGGGAAATTTTAGGTGCCGTAATATATTAGGGACCCAAAAGGGACCATAATTTTGACAACCACCCCAATACACTTTAGTTGCTTTAGTTTCAGTAATCAATCTGTATTGTTGAGAAGTTCTGATTTTCTAAAATATGTTTCAAGCATATCCCTGTTTTGGAGGGTAACCGGGTAATCATTAATTGCTGTATGTCTCAGCCCCTGTAATTCTAGAATATGTTTAAGGTATTGATAATCCTTTTTGCAGGGTATTGGGCTCTTTTAGCCCCTGTGATTCTGGAATATGTTCAAGGTAATTATTGTCCTTTTTTGGGGGCATTGGGTTCTTTGGCACTTTTTTGCAGCTGCTGTTTGCACAGAAAGGGCTGACTGGCATAAGCGCTACCCACTTTTTCAGTCAGTGCTGCCTCGCGTCTGTGAAGCCTCAAGCCACACTGCATCATTCTGAATGCATCTTCAGGTTGCCAAGTCGGGAACCCCTAAACCTGAGTGCAGACAGAATAGAGGGCTCGTTAAAACAAGCAACTAAACCCCATCCAAGCGAGCACCGCTTTAAATACTCGAAACCCTGAACCCGCCTCTAAACCCTAAACACCTAAACCCTGAACCTTGCGCCATGGCGTTCTTCATGACCTGGCTGCTTCGTGCTTGGCATCTTCTCCTAGCGATAGCAGGCAGGCGTTGTGTGCTTCATCCTTAAGGTTCCTTACCAGAAGTACTTCAATATATACATATGTATATATACATATATATATATCACGCTTTCACGCTTTCAGGGCAATGAGTTCGAGTCGAACGCAGCCTTTGCTTGCAGTAATTAAGAAGTGAAACAGGGTAGCAGAACCTCGGGCACTGTCGTGTTCGATAGGACAAGTAGTTCCCCGCGCTTGGTCGTACAAGGTGCGGCCCGCACAACCGCACAAACAGCAGGGCAAGCTGACTGTTTAAGGATCAAGGCAGTAGGAACCTGACGATGCCAAAAGAACACAGCACCACGGACAAGGTCTGCGAAGAGACGGAGGCCTCGCAGAGGGCCTTCAACGTCCCGAAAGGTTCGGATCGGATGGGGAAAGGCTTCAGACCCAGTCAGCCCGACACAAGGGAGGAGAACGAAACCAGTCTCACCCTCGCTGATCCAATGGTGGAACTCAATCAGCTGGCCCTGAGAGAGGCAGTCCCGGTGCAGGAAACAATGCCGAAAGTAAGTCCCAGCTGGGTCAACAGGCCGACAGGGCGCAATGCACTTCCATCCATGAGCAGGCGCTGAAACTATGGGCGCAACAAAGTCATGAAACTCAAGCCATGGCAACAGGATGGCTGCCTTCTGAAAGGTAGCAACAGCTGACTGCGGGACAGCTGCATCCTCGCCAATCCATTGAGCAAAGTCAACTCCGACAGCGAAGCGGGCAGCAGATGCATGCCAGGAGGCCCAGCGAACATCAACATCCTCGTCGGCGGAGAGTGCCTCTTGCAGGTCTGTTTGCCACTGGACAGCAGTCGCTCGCAGGCGTGTTCTCTGGAGGCAAACAGATCGAAAACAGTTCCGATATCTGTCAAGAAGGTCGTGCCAACTCGTAACAGAACCAGGACCGCCATGAAAAAGATCCTCCAACATGCGAATCACAACTGGATCTGGACGGTTGTGTTCCTCAACACCAACGGTGCAGTCCCATTGCTGGGTCGGACCAGACGCGGTGACTGCAGGTTGCAACTTCTGGCGACCATCATCATGTTTCCGACTGCCCTTTCCAGGCTCTGGTGCAAGACAAATGCCTGCATTTTTGAGAGCCCAACGGCATGGGGCTGAGTGGTCAATATGCTGGCACAGTCTAGAATTGCAGGCAAAATGGCGCAAGCACACCGGACAAAGTGTCCCACTGACAAGTGTCCGTGACTCTTTGACGCGACCATGCCGTTTAAAAGCATGATGGGGCCACTCCCGGAGTCCGCCAAAAGTACATCCACAGGGCCCGCAAACTTCTCGCTCATCCTCATCACATTGCAACTCTAGAGGGACAGCAGCTCCAGCCTGAGTGAGGATGCGGTAAGTCAGTCCTTGGAATTGCTGGACCTCGGCCTCCCACAGTTCTCGCAACAGAGCGAGTCGACGCCCCCGCTGTACTGTCCGTTTCCAGGTAGATGGCTGATCCCTGGCTAAGGCGACAGCAGCAGCCCATTCGTCAACTGCAACAGCTGGAGTACCAGCAAGAGACAAGGCTTCGTGTAGCCACGAGAGTGAACTTTGCATATGTCGACACCAGTCACCTTCCTGCCGCAAGATTGCCCACAAGTCGCAATTGGCAGTGGCGACGACTGATCGAAAGTATCTCAGGCGCTCGACATGCACGGAGGCACGAGCACCCAGAATCCGTGCACTGGCGAGAACATACAGTGCACTGAGGTGGCAGGCTTCCTCAAGAGTGAAGAAGGGTCGGAGCATGTTCCTTGCAATAGCAACCAGGGCAGACTGGATTTTGTCGATGTCGGCCTCGGCTATCCTAGGCCACGCTCCCACTCCGAAAAGGAGTGTCGATTCAACAAGGGTCGTGAAGAGTAGAGATTTATCTCTGGTGGTTACCACAGGGGATGCCAGGACTTTTTTGCGATGCTTTCTGAAGGCAGCCCAGGCTGCCCCAAGTCGACGTTTAAGTTCGCAACGAACACTGCCATCGACATGCAGCAATCCCCCTAGATGTTTATACGTGGAAACAAGGCGCAGGCGCGCACCTGGCCAGCACGATGCCGGTAGCGCAAGCATTGGTTCCTTGCCAGCGAAAACTTCCTGACGGATACGGCGGGATTGCGGGCCAACAATGTGCAGCAAGGCTTCGGTCTTGCCGGCCTTGAGATTCGGTAAAAGAAGGGCCTGGATGCAAGAGTCGAGAGTGACAGTGGCTGCTGTTCTGAGAACCTCAACAATTTGCTCCGGTCCTGTTGCCCAAAGCAGAACTGCCAAGTCGTCCATCCATGTGACATCAAGAGGAGACATAGTGGAGTCACTCTCAGGGCCGGTGCCAGGGGCTGCAAGCAACCAGTCTGCATGCCAAGGGAGCTCAACTTGAATGCCAGCCGCATGCAATTCGGATCGTATTTTCTTTGAAACCTCAGCGAAGAGGAACGTAAAGAGGAGATCTGCAAGATTATCACCGGGCCGCGTTCCACTGTTGACAACTGCAATGCGTTGGGAGGTGCCAAAAGAAAACCAGCTGTCAGTGTTGATCTCCTTGAGGATTTGGGCTGTCCATTTGGACGATCCGGCATCCTCAATAAGGGAGGACTGCCGGACAAAGTCGTGCAATCTGCCAATGGTGTCAGGCTGAAGGCCTAGGTCCCGTACAACACTGGCGACCAGGGTATCACTGGGGACTCCTCCGTGCAGAAGCGGCCTTGCCACACGATGGAATGCTTCACGGAGGTCAAGGAAAAGGATGGCCGAGCATCTCTTGGCATCATGTGCGACGGCCTGAAAGGCTCGCACAGCCTGGGCAGCAAGGACAACTGGCTGACCCCGACGACCTCCTACCTGAAGGGGCGTGGTGGTCGAGTCAAGCAAGTCTGAGCACTTGGCCCGAAGTGCCCCGTGGTAAACCTTGCCTACAGCTGAGCTGACAAGGATGGCCCGGTAGTTTTCACAGTTGGTTTGGCATCCACGCTGCTTCCAAATTGCATGCAGAGCCCCACCCTTCCAATGGATGGGTTCTTCAAGCCGGAAGCTTGCTTTTAAGGTAATCTGGAAAACGGCTTGTGAAAGTGCGGCTGTGTGCAGATGGAGTAGGTCAGCAGGGACTCCGTCATTCCCACTGGAGCGATGGCAGGGCGACTTTCTCATACAACGCTCAATGTCAAGCCTGTTTGGCACTTCCTTGGGATCAAGGGAAAGCTCACCGAGATCAAGGTAATATTGACGGTCAGCACAGGCTGCGACGTGACCATGTGGGTCAGTCGGTGCCCCATCCTCGACGCTGCTGAAGTGGCGAAGCCACCGCTCGTCAGCTGCGTCTTTGTCAGCGGCAAATGAGCCGTCCTCAAGGCAGATAGCCGGCAGGGCTGCTGTTCCCCGCTGCTTGCGACGGGGAGGACCAATCAAGGGTCTCAACTTTTGTACTGTGTCCTTGGTGGAGGAAGCAACTGCCTGGTTGGCAACTTCATGGGTGTACCGGCTCTTGTCTGCAAGGATGGACTTTCTCAGCAGTGGCTGTAGAAGGCGGAGGTCGCGTACATGACACCCAAGTTGTGCGACATCACGGAATGTCCGGCCAACTGCTGGGACACTCAGCAGAAACGGGTGACTTGTGGCCCAGCTGCGGAAGGCATGACGAAGGCTAGTCAGCCCAAGTGAGCCACTGAGTTTCCGAATCGCCTTTCGCAACCAAACGCGCTGCTGTCTGAGGTCCCATGTGGTGTCACTAAAGAAAGGGCGCTTACGAGCAGCCCGCTGTGCAGGAAAAACCTTTGCAAGTTCTCTGGTGAGGTAG